TGTTTAACTTCATCATAGATCTACTGATGGAAATAACTTTCTCGTCGACTGAATTCTCGGGTATTGACCTCCTTCCAGGAGGTCCACTTATCGACTTAGAATACGCAGATTACATAGTCCTGTTTGGTGAAGACGCTGACAAAATGCAGAGTCTTCTGGTAGCACTGAGCAACAATGCCAGAATGTTTGGGATGCGCTTCTCTCCCTCTAAATGCAAGTTGTTGCTTCAGGACTGGTCTGCGTTAACACCTGAACTAAGGATAGGGAGTGAAGTAGTCGAACGCGTTGACAACTTCACCTATCTTGGAAGTCTGATCAGCCCTAATGGGTTGGTGTCTGACGAAATCTCAGCACGGATTCGAAAAGCTCGCTTGGCTTTTGCCAACTTACGTCACCTTTGGCTAAGGCGAGATATCCGTCTATCAATAAAAGGACGAGTATACTGCGCGGCAGTTCGTTCTGTTTTAATTTACGGCAGCGAAACATGGCCCTTAAGAGTAGAAGACACCCGTAAGCTACTAGTATTTGACCACAGATGCCTTAGAAATATTGCTGGCGTCTGCTGGGATCACCGGGTAAGTAATAGTGAGGTTCGACGCAGGGTATCAATCCAATTTATCAACCAATCAGGAAAATCGTGCATAAATATAGGAACAAAAATCAAATCAATGAGAGACACAACCAATCCCTTCAGGACTCCAGGTTAGGGCTTACCTCGTGATGCAGTTTGATGATTTGCGTAATATATGTCCTGTCCATTTTATCCAATGATGATTAACAATTATTTATCGTCATTTACAAATGTTTCCTTGAATCAGTCTACATAAGGTTATTGTAAAGAGTTTGTGATATAACTATAGAAAACTATTACTTGTAATATAAACAACTGTAATTCACTTAACTCAAAGAATAGAACAATGATCTATGGTAGATGTGAAAAATTTAATAACCGAAATACATTCACATTTATTGACAGATTTCATTGGTGTTTGATGATTAGCCAATGAACATTAGATGTAGTGTAAATGTGAAATGAGTTTCTTATTGAATATTACACTTACTGTATACAAAAGAATGTTATCTTTCAGAAATATTGCACGGAAATAAAATAGATATTACACTGAAATTTATTTATTTATTTAAACACATAAACATTGGAACAAGGAGGCACCAAATAGATGTACACCAATGAAATCATTCAATTTATGTGAGGGATGGGATACTGTCTGGGTGCCTAAACCGAATCAAGTGCTTTTATTAGGAAGTCGCACCCGGAGCTTTTTACCTGAAGGTCTAATCCACAAGGCAGTGGAGCAAATATGGTAGATGCAGTCCCATAGTAGGGAGTGACCACTGATTGGTTCATACACCATTTGTTCCTTCAGGATACTGGAGCCCATGTACACTGTTGGTTTGGAATCTGGGTTTTCCAACTTCCCTAGATGAACTCTCTATGTCCACCTACCCGGTTAAAGCGCCCGAAATTCAGTTTTCATCCTCTCAGTTTCATAAATAACACCCCCGCCGCGAGAATTCAGTGAGTAGGACTTCACTGGTAGTTGTTGTATGCACTTGACCACTCTCGGCCGTACCAGGGCATTTGGGATATTTACATGTATTTATCCCGTCCTAATATTTCGTATTTCATTCTTGTTGCTTAAATTCTAATGTAGTTAAAACTTATTCTACCAGACAATCAACAAATGAAAAGTAATACCAATTATTATAATCTCAGCATTTGAACTTAATATAACAATATGTTTTAAGCTTTTTATAACACCTTTTGAATAAATAAGGACATTAAAACAGTGGTATCTAAGGTAGTTAAAACAAATTTGAAACGAAAGAAAAGTAATTAGATAGTAGTTGTATCGTAGGGGGGTAGTCCAAACACTTAACATGAGCTAATACCAACTGGTAAACAATTAATGATAACTTATCAGCTGAGCGACCAAGCACGAAATCAAAGCCTCAATCCTGTAGAACTGCACTATTGTTATCAAACTACATCATTAAAATCAATGTAGTCCATTTCTGTTAGTATAGGGTTGTGGAGATTATTAAGCTTTTGATTGAGATCACGAAGCGATTGATTTTAGACCACTATTGAAAACCTGGAAGCACTGGACGGCCGTTTCATCCTATTGCTGGACTCCTCAGCAGTGCGCATCCACGATCACGCTCGCGGGACTCGAACTCAGGGCCCTGTTTTTCCTTCAGTCAATCAGCAAGACGGCATAATCATTGTTCAATCTCATTGTTGGATAACTACCTTTTTTCCTACTAAGCTGGTCATTTTTTAGAGAATAGGGAGCATTAGATCTTTGAGTGAATGGTTTGAAAGTTTCAGTTGATTTGGCGTGAAACTTTAAGTCGTATGTTCGATCTTGTGTAAGTTTGTGAGTGCACACTGTAAAGGAGTTGATTATTAATAACAATACAACAATACAATATTCCTTTCCTTGCTGTAGTTTTTCAGTTTACGTCAGTTCATCTTGTAGGTTACTTTAAAAGTGTTATAACTGGTGGCCTATGTGCCCTGTTGATGTATAAAGTTATGATACCGCCAATTAGACAAAAATGAATTATCGACCGAACCAATGACGCATATAACAAGTACGAGCAGTCTAGAGTACTTATCGATCCTGCTTCCTGTCTCACCCAGCCAGTTGAGTCCAGAACACCTTTTATTGTCATCACAGAAATCTTGTTTGTAGGAGGTAATTTACATCAAAGTATTTTTATGTACAACCCCGCCTGGAGCCCCTCTGGGGTCACTGTCAGTGCCAAGCCCGGGTAAAAGAGGAGGGTTTGGCATGGAGTTAGCGTTAACTAGGAGATATAATTCGAACCATTTAAACTCTACTCTGGGAGTTAGAAGGTCTTCATTTAGAAGAGTTATGACGTCTTATGATGAAAGTCGAGTTCCTTCGGAAGTCACGAGGCTGATACCCTTTCTGACAATCAGAGTAATCATTAATTTAGGTACATGGAATGCTTGTACAATGTGGGAGACCGGAAGAGTCTTCCAAATTACTGCAGAAATAAAGAGATACTTTTATGTAAAAATGGTTTGTATGTATGTATACCTAATTCGATAAAACAATTATATCATAGTTATGTTGATGATATAACTCATCACCATTCTGAACAAGTATCATGTATTTTGTATAAGGTTTTGAGTTAAAATCTTTAACATTAATAAATGGGTTAATGGTTAACAGTGCCATTACATCCACCATACTTCGCCTCATGAACTTAAAGGAGTGAGGTAGATTTTAAAAATAATGTATCATGTTCAATTCATTAATCAAGTGTGTATCCATTCATAGCAGCAGTAATTTTTTTTGCAGATCTATATTGTAGTGTTATAAATCAACTGAAAAGTTAAATTTCATAGATCTTAGTATTTATCATCAAAGACTATGTGTATAATGTATCCCTTCCGCCGTAGAGAATCACATACTAAAAGACTCTGAGATGGTGGAGAAGATATGTAGCTCAGGTGGATGATTTTGATGGAGTTTTGTTCTCTGAGCTGGATGGTTTGGTCGTGGAGCTTTCATCGTTTTTGTGAACGATATCATCAGCACAAGCTTCAGAAAGATAGACAGAAGTCTATCTGACTTCTGTTGCATTTCCGAAACATGGAAAATTTACCAACAATGTGCGTAAATTTTCTAAAAAATTCAACTGGCTATTTTTGAAACACTGCTGTTGTTGCTCAAGTAGAAGCTGTAATCGGCCGGAAAACGTAGTCATTTTTTTCTTTTCTGCACCAGCAATGAAAATTAACTGTAGGAATAATGACGAATGTTGCTCAAGGACGCTGATGATAAATTTGGACTCTGATTAGTCGAAACAATTAGCCTGAATCTCGTCCAATTACAAGGTTCAAAATTTTTCTCCACCCCGTTGCCAATTGTTATGACTTTAAGTTGCGGTCGATCTTTACCCTGTGCTAATTGTTGTGTCCTTGACTGGAAAATTAGAGAGCAGCGTACTTATCGATCGACTACAGTGACACGTAAACACGTACGGACGGCCTAGAGTCTCGATTGGTCCCACTTCCCTGTCTAGCCCAGTCAGTTGAGTCCAGAACACAAGTCACAGCCCCGGAGATATGAATCATTATATTCCAAACATACTTTGTTTATATACCAATCAAGCATACCACATCGTACCATAAAATAGAAAACAACATTTTGTACAATATTCAACAAGTGAACAGATATCGACCAATAGGAAATATCCATTTAAAGTCCAAGGACACCATTGGACTTAACATGATAATTATTGGTCTATTCCTCCGCATCCACAACAATCCGGCCAACGGATCCGAAGTATTTTGTGTAGACAATTGTTAATAAACACCTGTATTTTCTGGATGATGGCTTTCGTAGTTCTTCAGGTTTCTGCCCCATACAGTAGAACTCTCTTGACATTTGTATTGAAAATCCTGACCTTGGTGTTGGTTGACAGTTGCTTTGAGTTCCAGATGTTCCTCAGTTGTAAATATGCTGCTCTTGCTTTACCGATCCGCCCCTTCACATCTGCATCAGATCCATCCTGTTCATCAATGATGCTGCCCAAATACGTAAAGGTTTTTACATCTTCCAAATCTTCTCCGTCAATTGTGATTGGATTGGTGCATTCTGTGTTGTATCGGAGAATCCTGCTTTTCCCTTTGTGTATATTGAGACCTATTGCTGCTGAGGCTGCTGCCACACTGTTCGTCTTCTCCTGCATCTGTTGTTGCGTTTGGGATAGAAGGGCCAGATCATCTGCTAAGTCTAGGTCGTCCAGCTGCATCCTAGATATCCATTGTATCCTTTCAGATGTTGACGTCTTCACGATCCAGTCGATCACCAGGAGAAAGAGAAAGGGTGAAAGTAAGCAGCCATGCGTGACACCGGTCTTTATTTCGAACGACTTTGTCAACTGTCCTCCGTGAACAATTTTGCAGTGTAATCCATCATATGAATTCCGTATGATGTTGACTATCTTCTGAGGCACGCCGTAGTATCGAAAAAGCTTCCATAGTGTTGTCCTGTCCATGCTATCAAATGCTTTTTCGTATTCAATGAAGTTGATGTAGAGTGAAGAATTCCACTCAATTTATTGTTCCACAATAATCCGTAGAGTTGCGATTCGGTCTGTACACGATCTATCCTTACGGAATCCTGCCTGTTGGTCTCGAAGTTGGGCGTCTATGCTGTCCTTCATCCTGTTTAACAATACCCTGTTGAAGACTTTTCCGGGTATTGAGAGAAGAGTGATGCCCCTGTAGTTATCACACTTGCTGAGATCGCCTTTCTTCGGTATTTTGATTAGAAGTCCTTCTTTCCAGTCTGTTGGTACTTGTTCCTCATCCCAAATCTTATTGAAGAGGATGTGGAGTATCCTTGCAGTTGCCGCTACGTCTGCTTTCAGTGCCTCTGCTGGAATGTTGTCTGGTCCTGCTGCTTTGCCACTCTTGATTTGTCTGATGGCCATGCTGATTTCTTCAATTGTTGGTGGGCCAACATTGATTGGGAGGTCCGTGGGTGCTGCTTTGATGTTGGGTGGGTTCAGTGGAGCTGGTCGATTCAAGAGTTCTTTGAAGTGTTCTTCCCACCTGTTTCGTTGCTCTTCAATGTTGGTGATTATCTCGCCCTCCTTGCTTTTGACTGGTCGTTCTGGTTTGCGGCGATTTCCAGAGAGTTTCTTTGTCGTGTCATACAATTGTCTCATGTTCCCTTCTCTTGCAGCCTTTTCCGCCGTCATTGCTAAATCTTCCACATATTTACGTTTGTCGGTTCTGATGCTCCTCTTCACTTGTTTGTTTATTTCCGTGTATTCAGCTTGTGCCTTGGCTTTTTCTGCTCTTGTTCGACTGGTATTGATTGCTGCTTTCTTGTTCCTCTTTTCTTGAATCTTATCCAGTGTATCAACAGTGATCCATTCCTTGTGGTAGTGCTTCTTGTAGCCCAGGACCTCATGACATGTTGAAGTGATTGCCTCTTTGATCCCCTTCCAGTTTCTCTCCATAGTAGTTCCTTCTCCATTGAGTAGATCATGAAAGGCTTGGAACTTATTGCTGAGGACTATATTGAATTTGTTGAGTTTGTTAGTGTCCTGAAGAAAGGCCGTATTGAACATTTGTGATGTTGTCCGCCCCGTTGTGCAGTGCTTCTTGAGTTTCAATTTCATCTTGGCGACCAGCAAGTGATGATCTGATGCTATATCAGCTCCTCTCTCGGTTCTCACGTCTTCCATCGTCCTCCTGAACGTTTTGCTGATGCAGATATGGTCGATTTGGTTTTGTGTAGAGTGATCCGGTGAAGTCCATGTCGTTTTTTGAATGTGTTTATGTGGGAATACGGTGCCGTCTATGACCAGTTTATTGAAGGCACATAGGTTTGCAAATCTCACCATTTTCGTTCCTTTCTCCCAGTCCATGTCGTCCCATGATGTCTTCATATCCAGTGTTGTCCGTTTCAACCTTGGCATTGAAATCTCCCATCAGAATGGTCAGGTCCTTTGTTGGGCACTTCTCGATGATTGACAGCAGCCTATTGTAGAATTGATCTTTAGCCTCTTCATTGTAGTCGTTGGTAGGCGCATAGCATTGGATGATGTTCATTGAAATGCCCTCTTTCTTTGTTTTAAACGAGGCTTTGATGATCCTTGGTCCATGAGATTCCCATCCTATAAGTGCATTTTGTGCTTGTTTGGACAGCATCAATGCAACTCCTTGTGTATGTGGTGCGTTTTCTTCTTCATGGCCGGAGTATAACAGGAGCTCTCCTGTAGTTAGTCGTTGTTGTCCAACTTGTGTCCAATATGTTTCACTGATCCAAAGCACCTCTGGGTTGTATCTTCTCATTTCTGCAGCAATTTGGAAGGCTCTGCCGGTGTCCCACATTGTACGAGTACTCCATGTACCTAAATAAATGGTTGCTCTGGTTGTCAGAGTGTGCATCGGCCTCGTAACTTCCGAAGGAATTCGGCTTTCATCATGAGGCGTCATAGTTCTTCTAAATGAAGACCTTCTGACTCCCAGGGCAGAGTTCAAAAGGTTTGAATACTGTTTTCTGTTTAGCGTTTTTTTAGCGAGTTAGTTTTCTACGGGATGGGGTCGCTAACTCCATACCAAACCCTCCTCCTTTATCCAGGCTTGGGACCGGCAGTGGCCCCCGGAGGGACTCCAGGCGGAGTTTTGTATATATCTATATTGATATTTTAATAATCCAGCTATTTTGGTAATGAAAAAATAATACACATTCATTCTATATTATACTTTGTTTTGTTTATTATTAATTTAGGCTTCCCACATTCTGAAACTTTTGATCTTGATCGTTTCGCTGTTAAACGTTGTATGTGGTAAGTGTTAACTGATATTAATTGTTTTCTATTAATTTATTAGATGATTTATGATTCACAATGAAATTCGATTGATCAGCTGACTGAATTGTAATTTTTCTCATACGTACTATCATCATCTCATACGTTTGAAAATGAACTTAGTTGTAGATTCATTAAACTGTTCTCAATCTCTGAATGATACCTTATAATGTTGTGTATTAGTGTGTGTGAATTAGTGTGACCTGTAGTTCGAACCTAAGATGTTTCGAATTTTTAATGAACATCTGAATCATACGTTTTATTAATGAGTTCAACTATGAGCGAAACATCTATGATGAATTTCACTGCTGGCTACTTTTCCAAAGTATAATACCCCTATAACAGACTCAGTGGTCTAGTGGTTAAGTGTTCGCGCGCAAGACTGGAGGCTCTGGGTTTGAATCCGGCGAGCGGGATCATGGATGTGCACTGCTGAGCAGTCCCACAATAAAATGAAACGGCCGTTCAGTGCTTCCAGGTTTTCAATGATAGTGTAACATTAGTCGGTTTATGATCTTAAGCAAAAACTTAATAATCGATTGTTTGAATCTTAGTATAATATACAGTAAACAATCTTTTCATATCTACAACAATTATCACCATATATCATTTATTTATTTATTTGAACACATAGATATTGATACAAGAAGGCACCAAATACATATGCAACACACAAATCTTATTAGATTTATGTGAGGGCTGTGATACTGCCCGGGGTGTCCAAATCGAAGCAGGTGGTTTACTTAGGGGGCCACACCTGGAGCCTTCGACCTGAAGGTCTGATCCACAAGGCAGTGGAGCATCGTAAGGAGATGCAGTCGTACGGTAGCCAGTGACCAACGATTGGCTCATACACCATTTGTTCATTCAGGATACTGGAGCCCATATGGAGCATTGGTTTTGAATCAGGGTTTCCCAACTCCCCTAGGTGGACTCCGTGTCCACCAACTCGGTTAAAGTGCTGGACATTCGCTTTCCGTCCTCTCAATTTCGTAAACAACAGTAATACCGCAAGAAGGCAGTGAGTAGGATTTCCTTGTCAGTGGTTGTATGCACGTGGTCTTGTGAGAGCATTTGGAGTGGGAGAGCTGACTAGTCCCACTCTCGGCCATACCAGGTCATTTGGGGACAGATCTGACATCCAATCCCTTTTGAGTTTTCGCTTAAGTTTCACATTCTTGTATGGTGATGATAGATTGTAAGGTATTTTAAATAATTCAAAAATAGGGAAAATATTTAAATATCTAGACAGTATAATAGGTACAGTATTATAAACTCTGAAATCAAACAGATAGCTTTTCATTCATTATCCTTATTGTTTATGATGATTTCTTAAAGTAACTACAAATTTATAATACGATAGTTTTCTTTGTATTAATCAAATGATTAAATAATGAAATACTTTTTTCTCTTTTAGTCATTTATCAAATAAATCAACAAATGATAAAACTGATACTACAACTAATCCACATTATGCATGTCCAAGATGTCATGCTGCATATTGTGAATTACCAGTTGAATGTAATGTTTGTGGATTAACATTAGTGGCTGCACCTCATCTTGCACGTGCTTATCATCATTTATTTCCATTGGATTTATTTGAACCAGTAAATGGTCATGATAGTTTTAGTGAAACATCATTAGATAATCAAGAAAAATCAAAAGAAACTATTGATTCAACAGATTGTACTACTGATCATCAACCACGTGTTTGCTTTGGTTGTAATGTAATGATACCATTGAAAATTCCTGTGAGTTATGAATGAATTAAATGTATTGGTTAATATGTAGTTTGTTCAATAAATATATCATGAACCGAGCGATTGCACTTAATGACTATGAACTAAACATTTATCCCATTGAGTCAGTCTGACATTGATAGCATATGTTTTCCCAGTTGTTATTAATCGATGAGTGTAGTTTCTTCATAAGTTCTCATGATATCCAGTGAATAAGCGAAAATATGTTTGTACATGCAACAATGGTTGCTCACAAGCTTTTGGTTTACGATTCTATCAAAATGCTAGCCTAGAATTCGTAATCTGAAAATAAAACCTGATGAGGCAAATGAAAAGTTTGACTTTTAACAACTTCTATGAACGTTTAGAATAATGCATACTAATACATGACAAGTGTATTACTACAAATTTAGAATATTTTGATGTACCCTGAATGTTGTAAAGCTAGTGGTTGGTATTAATGGACAGATTACATATTCCTCCTGTTAATAAATAATACGTACGGTCTAGCCATACAAAGTAAGTTGTCCTTGAACGATTCTGTTGGTTCCGAATATCTGGCAAAAGCACAATTATGTATGTGTAACCTTGTTCGCAAAGAGGATAAAGCATTACGTGCTATCATAAAAACTTGGCATGATTTAGACACTTCCTCGATGCATCTAATATTACACAAACAAATAGTCTTTCTTATACTATAGTTTAGGTTAATGAAAGTTTTCTTGGTTTCCTTTCATTGATCGAATTACTGTATTAAGTGTGTAACGAACTCGAAAACCACATGACTATTTATGCACAATGTAACTAACTACAGGCTTCATTCTTTGTAGCTGTTTGTGTTCATTATCAAGGAATCCGAAACTAGAGTGAAACAGGCGGTTGGTGCTTTCTTCAGTTGACGTACATTTACGTAGCTACATTGGTTCTAGCTATCACAATATATCAGCAAAGTGAGATGGAATCAACAAGATAAATCTGAAATTATCATTAGCAGTATAGACAAACAGGCGTAGATAATATGGATGGAGAAGAAAAATAAATTCACTGAATCAAAAGTATTAATTGTTTTAAGACATGTATGAATAAATCTGTTCCATTGCCATTGGTTTTGAGCCATATCACCCGCTGTTTTCATTTATTAGTTACCAATTTATCTACACCTACCAGCACGGCTCATTCTAACTGTCAGCAATTTCATGGACTGATATCACGTCTTGTATCCTCCACCCCTGACTTTTTCCCAGAGTACTGCTACACCAGCACACATTTTGTTGTCTAGGTAGATGGTGTCCGGTCATACATGATACACGTGAATAACAACTAAAGTGGATGAAGATTCAGTCTCTAGTACCTTGTATCTAACCCCGAAATTGCTTATTTAGTGGTTCCAACATCATCACTATAGAAATAAAAAATAAATTTATACAGACGACAATACTAGCTGTATATGTGAATTCACATGATCGAACCTTTCACTTAACTTAGTGATATAATCATTTACAAAATAACACTTAACATGAATAAAAGATTTTTAAAACGTTAAGTGATTGTAGGCTTGCAATTTGGTGTGTAAGTACACTCACTAACTAATGAGTATTGAGACACTTATATTTGAAGGATTAACTCCGAAGGCACTATTGTAACTGGGTGGTCGATTGTGTTTTATTCACATCGCCTCTGTTGGACACGGATGGCCAACTGCCATTGTTGGTGAGTCGTCGCTGTTATGTGCGTATTGAATCTATTAAGTTTGCAGTCTTAATGCTTATACTTTAAAAATACAGGAACATCACAATTCCTGAATTCTACTGCTTATACTGTGAAACGACAACCTATACAATTTTCACTATGTATAGTGACAATACGAAAGATTGATACAATCATGATCTGTTGACTCCTCTAAAACATATCTCAAAACAAGTCCCGAAATCAAATACTCATTAGACCAAAATACAATCATTTATAAAATAATTTTTACGCACAGTTATATCATATAGGTGGAAACACATGAAATCACTGTAATAAAACATACACAGTAAATACAATTTACTTGAATTGATACTGGGGACCTAATCGTCATGCTGTCACCCTGACCAAAATTCATAATGAATTGATACAAAAGTATTAACCTAAATAATGTCAGAAAGGTTTTTGTGGATATTATAGTGATTTCAGTAGTTGAGATCATGAGTCAATTGAAGCTAGACCACCACTATGGAAAGCATGGGAGCACTGGACGACCGTTTCGTTCTATTGTGGGACTCCTCAGCAGTGCGTATCCGCGGTCCCGCCTTGTGTGCGAGCGCTTAACCTCAAGACCACTGAGCCGGCATCCAATGGTGTTAATGTCTAACTTCAACTAATACACAAAATTGAGCGACACATTCACCATTGTCATCAGTTAGTTACTATCTCACAACTGACCCGGTTGAACTCCACTGGTCACTGCTTCTCACTAGAACTCCACGAAAGACCTCTTGAAGCCAGTCACTAGTGAGCATATGTTGATTCATATCGTAAGTGTTTTCGTGGATATTATAGTAATTTCAATGGTTGAGATCATAAGTCTGATAAGCCCTGTGTTCGAACCTTGAGAGGTGGGATTGTGGATGCGCACCGCTGAGTAGTCCCATAATAGAACGAAACGGCCATCCACTGCTTCTAGGTTTTACATGGTGGTGGTCTAGCTTCAATTAACTCATGATCTCAACCATAGAGACTAAATAATGTCATCTCACCAATGTTATCTCACCATATCAGACATATAACTATCAGGCTCAATCATCACTTACGTGATCAAGTTTTTTTTTGTTTATTTCCTGATCAAATGAAATCATTTGTCTTTATTTGTTTATTTGCTTTTGTCTTAGGGATATCAATGTCCTAAATGTAAATTTATATTCTGTCATTCATGTGATGCTGTTCTACATGATTCCATTCATTCATGTCCAGGGTGTTTAACTTTATTATGATTGATGA